ATGGTGGTTAAGCCTCTCAGCTCACATTCACTTTTCATAAAGAAAAAAAGATGAGGAATTTTCACCTCATATTTTAATTTTTCGCCAGCTTTGGCTTTTTTCAGACGCTCAAGTGCTTCTTGCTGGCCTCTTCTGTTCTTCCTCTCACGTCTAGAACGTGATGCTGCAAAACTTCCAGACTCATGCATAGCTGCAATTGAGTAAAAAGAAGAGAATTAAGTCTAGTAATGAGCTGCTGTTATCTTTGGTACTTAGTATTCAGTGATGCATTAATAGATTACTACAGTTTATCTTGAAATCAAGATAAAGACCCACTTGTTTAAAAGCACAGTCAGGATAGCTTATAATAAGCCAATTCTGGAATTATACTGAAGGCATGACCTGACAAACAGGGAGATGAAAAAAGACTTCATGCCAACTCATACTCAGCACGAAGCTACCACCTCTTCCCAAAGAACCTCTCAAACCTCATCAACCATTATTTGAAAGGGATCCCTCCATTCCTTTCTTGGGAACTTCCAGCTTCTTTTATTTTGCATGTCTCCATGACAACTCAGCAATGCCAGACTTAAGAGAAGGCCTACACTGCTATAAGGCAGTAATGTTTTTTTAGGTGATTTCACAATGTTTAAGAGTGCAGCCAGATTGAGACGAACTAGTAATCTGCTGACAGCACAGGACTGACACCCCATTTCCTCCTATACTTCCTTCCCTTAAAAATGCTTCCTACAGCAGGGCGCTCTCCACTTCTCCTGACCTTTTCCCCTGTATTGATTTGGAGGAGGGGGGAACTAGTTATGACCTTTTTCCCCTGTATTGATTTGGGGGAGGGGGGAACCAGTTATCTGACCACAGAGAACGGAAGTTCCCAATCCAAACAGCCCAGGGACAAGAACGTGGGTTTTGTGTGAGGAGCTAAACACCCCGTGGCGACCAAGGCTAGCCAGGTGTGTCCAGAGGAGCAGGACAGTCCCCTCCCGGTGCCAGCAGCAGATCGGACTGCGAGCAGAGCTGCACCCAGGCAGTGTGGCTGAGACAAGTACAGGTTTGTATCCCTACGGGCTGAGCTAAGAGGAGGCTCTCACTGTGTAAGAAAACTGCGAAGGTGTCACAGGGTGCGTTTATTTTCTGCCAAATCTTTGCGTTTGCTGTCAGTCAGCGCGCTCCTCCGAGACAAACGTGTTTGCAGACCCTGCCGGGACCACCCGCGCCCGCCGCTGCACCCGCCGGGAACCGCCAGTGCGGCCCTCGGCGGCGATCCCGGGAGAGGCCCCTCATCCTCCGGGGATGCTCCGCCGGCGCGGGGCAGTGGGGCCGGTGCGGGGCCGTGCGGCCCGTGCCCCCCGCCCCGGGCGTAAACCTCCCTCGCCTCTGCTCCTCTCCCCGCCTGCCAGGAGAGGGTCTCTCCGTTCGGGCAGGGCAGGTACGGCCCCGCCGATCCTCCCCAGGCCGCGGGGACGCGGGACCCTCTGGGAGCGTTGTCCCCGCCGCCACCGCGACCGCCCGCCGTGCACGCTCGCTCCCGCGCCCGGCGCGCGCGCTCCAGCCCTGCCCGCCGCCAGCGCCGCTGCGCCCGCCGCCCCCCCCACTGACACCGAAACGCCGCCGGCAGCGGCAGCAGCGGCCGCCGCGGAGAGGGAAGGGAAGGAGGGAGAGAGGCCCCGGCCCCCCCGGCTCTCACCGTCCCGGCCCCCCCGGCTCTCACCGTCCCGGCCCCCGGCGCCGCTCTCGGCCATGGCGCTCGCGCCAAAGGCTCCCGAAAGTGGCGCGAGACGGGAACCCCGCGCGCCGCCGCCGGGGCCGCAGCCAATCAGCGCCGGCGGGGGCGGGGCCGGCGGGGCCGCCCCGGGGCGCGGGAAGGGGAAGGGAAGGGAGGGGCGCGCGCGGCCGCGGGAAAGGGTCTGGTCCCGGCGTCTCCGCCCGGCCCGGGGCCCGGAACCCGGAGCGAGGGCCGGGCCGGGCGGAGCCGCTTCCTGGGCGAGGCCTCCGCCTCCGGGCCGCAGCCGAGGCCGGGCCCGCCGCTGGAGCCGCGGGTTTGCGGGCGCTCGTACCGCCCAAGGGCCCGGGAGGGCGGTGAGGGCACAGCTGATCCCATCCCGCGAGTTGCATGTGAGGGATCTGAATAGGGCTCCACCTGTGCAGGGGCCCACAGCCCGTGCTTGGTTCGGTGCCGCAGTTGGGGCAAAGACGTGTTCAAATGCCGTGTCATAAATATGTGATGTGTAAACGTCATGTATAAAGCCACGTATAAATGCAGCATCTGAGCTGGGAGGAGGCGGTGGTTGATGCCACTTGTCTGAAAACTGGAGCCAGACTGCAGCGTGAGGGTCAGGGACTGCCTGCAACAACATCAGCGGTAGATCAGTCCCTGCTGGGAGAAACGGACATTTCCCACACGGTTTCTGTGGACAGGTAACCACTGAAGCTCGAACAGTGATCATGACAGACGAGCATCCATAAAAAACGTGGTTCCTTTTTTGCATATTTAAAATAGGCATTATACTCTGTCAGAAGTTTCGGGAACTTCAGTAAATTACTCCCTAGTCTGCTCAGAGACAGGTTGTTAGCCAGTTTAGTCACAAAATATGGGGGATTATTTATGTATATGTATATAAAATATATATTTCACATATGTGAAATATATATATGTGAACTATATATATTATGTATAGTTTTATATACATGAATATGTAGTTATATATAACTATATATATAGTTATATTATAATGGATGCCTCCTGTTTCCCAAATCCCTTTTCCTTTTTTTTATCTTCTTTGCTAGACATGAAAAAAAATAGTTTCAGACTTGATTTCTTGAGAGGCCAAATCTGTGGAGGGCCCTGAGAAAAGATCCGTTAGAGCTTTGCCCTTGCACACCCCTGACTTTGTCAGCGTGGGGAGGTGGAGTATGGTCTGTTCATTTTGATGCTGCAGAGGTGCCTTCACTTGCATTTGTCAAGAGTATTACACGTCAACCTTCAGCTGAGGAGCAAGAACTGTGTCCAGAAAAGGAAATATTTCAGCTGCAAGTATAGATGGAAAAGTTTCTTAAGCCCTCAGTTAAGAAAACTGAAGCTTTATGATTCGTCTCCTCTAAAGGGGCTTAGATCAGTCTGCCTGTGCATTTAGAAATACAGGGAAACTGGTGGAATTTGTGCTGTTTCACCACAGATTAACTTCAGTCTTTTCTCCAAAACCATCACTGTTGGCCAGCCATTACCCAAAAATCCTGCCATCTCCATTTGCAGAAGTCTGGAGAAGCTCATGAAAATCTGTAGGCCCTGACTCCAGCTTCTTAAAAAGGCAGGTGGCACCACAGGACTCTGTCCTTACAGCTGATATGCTGTTGCAGAACTGTGAGCTAGTATTAGTAGTAGTGGCCTGAATATACTAGTACTGGCCTGAATATACTGATTGTTTTCTGCTGTCTAGAAGAGAGGATTTATATGGTTCTGAAACAGAAAATTCTTTTCCTTCTCCACAAGGATTTCTTTTCATTGGTAAGAAAGAAATAAAAAACCTACCAATCCTCTTTACGTACCCAGTTCCTAGTACAACACTGTCCCACTGCTGGACCTAGTCTTGCGTGGAAGCAGAAGAACCATCCCATGAACTGTGGCAGCTCCCTGGTGCCAAAGAGGCTGGATACCCTGACAGCCAGAATGCCCATTCCCAGGTAGAACGGGACTCCCTCTCTCACTAGCTGGCTATTAGGTCAACTGTACCTAATAGGTTAACTGTAGCAAACCCACATCCTTGGAAACACTGACAACTCCAGGAAGAACGCCTGTCTGTTCTACCATCCTGGTTTCCACTTGGATAGGGTTAATTTTCTTCCGAGTATCTGGTACAGGGCTATGTTTTGGAGTTAGAATGAGAATAATGCTGATAACACACTGATGTTTTGGTTGTTGCTCAGCAGTGTTTACACTAAGTCAAGGACTTTTCAGCTTCTCACCCCACCCCACCAGAGAGGAGGGGGGGGCACAAGAAGCTGGGAGGGGACACAGTGGGGACAGCTGACTCCAGCTGGCCAAGGGGCTATCCCATACCATATGGCATCATGCCCAGTATATAAATTAGGGGGAAAACTGTCCAGAGGCCACTGTTCAAGAATGGGTTGGGCATCAGTCAACAAGTGGTGAGCAATTGTGCTGTGCATCACTTGTTTTGTGTATTGTAATTATGTTATTTGCCCTTCCTTTTCTGTCCTATTAAACTGTCTTTATCTCAACCCTCATATTTTACTCTTTTTTTTCCCCCAATTCTCTCCCACATCACACTCGGGGGATGGGTGGCTGTTTGGTGTTTGAGTACCTGCCAGGTTAAACCATGACACCTACAGACAGCCTCTCATTCAGTGCAGCGCACCACTCTCTGGTTTAATTCTTTTTATAAACATGTGCACAAAACAAGGTCATATCACCAAGCATGATGTGAGATTCAAATTCGTGAGTTACTAAACTTTTTAAGCTACAATAGAGAAACATTTATAAAATAAAAATATCATTAAATTCTTCAGTGTGAATAAAAATAGAGTGCTACTGCACGTCACGCATACCTAGCTTTCACATGCTTTGGATTTTTTAATTGATTGAATTTTAATGCTTTTGATTCAAATTAAACAATGCTCTTTGTCAGCTGTCATGTGAACAGTGGCATGTTTGTCATTCAGGTGATGCCGTGATTTGAGCCGGTACACAGTGATACAGTTAATTTCCCCAACTGAAGTTGTTGCCATAGCTCCACTGTGGGACAGCGCAGATCAAACAAAAGACTTTTTCATGGATGAGAGTTCAATCCTGACATTCATCCCTGGCCATAACAAGAACGCATCTGTTTCCCACAACACAGCATAACAAGCATATTTAAATCCTGCATGGGGCAGAAAGAAAAAGGGGTGGGGGGAGGGAGCAAGGGGTGGGCTTGCTTTGAGGAAGAAAAACAACCCAGCAAGATTTGGGACTTCCTCTGCTAAACGTCTTTATCACAGCAGATTACCTTGAGCTGGTCTTTAACCTCCCTTGGGACATTCATACAAGAACAACTTGGCATGACCTTTGCTCAATTCTCTTTTTAAGTGCAAGAAGTGGGAACTCTGCTGTGCAGTTCAGAGCCACCAAGGTTCTCTCAAGGCAAGTGAGATAGCTGCAGAGAAAAGTGCAAGAGAAGCACAGTAACGAAGATGGTAGGCAGCCAAAAACATGGTACAGAAGAGGAAGCTCGGGAAACTCCCAGATTTCAACAAAAGGTGACAAATACGTATTTTCCATTTTGGTTTCTTAGAGCTGTAATTTAAATACATAAGTTATTAATAGAAAATGCTGTAAACTCATTGCAAGGGTTCCAAGGTAATATAAAAAGTAGTATATATTAACATTGCAAAGCACAAATGGAGTATAGCATCAAAACTAAGTTAAATAGTTAAAAATAACTGCTGTATTGAGGAGTAGTTTTGTCTTCCTTTTTACATCTAGAGTGTGCTTGATATGCTGCAAAGGCAAGAGGACAAAGAGTTAAAACTTTCAGGTTCAGACATTATACATTAAGCTTATGGTTGGTTGGTGGTTTTTTTGATGATGGAAAAACTCTGATGAAACTAAGAGGGGTGCTATAAAGACAATGCCAGTAAATCATGGATTATAGCAAGGTAAGGAATTCACCTGTACTATGCCTACCTCAAAATGCCTGAACATTATCATATTGTTGTTAAGTACAGATTGCCTTTGTGGAGAACTCTGTGTGTGTGTGCATACTACTCAGGATATGAGTATATATGTTCTACATGTATGTTTCCTACAAGCCTGGAGTATTCCATTATCTTACTTTTAATCCTCATATTGGTCTGAATTAATACACATCATCACTAAATTAACTAAAAGTTTTTACATCTAATATGATGCAGTTCTGAGCACTTCAGCAACTGCTTACTAAACTGTGCTATTCATGTGGCATTTCAACATGAATTACTTCACTGTTTGGGAGAGTAAACTCCTAGAGGAGTACAGGTTTCATAAATAATTTTTTTTTAAATCTCAAATTATTATTTGACAGGAGATCTTTGTTTTCAAAACATGTAGTTAACTGACAGAAGTATAAAGAAATAGATGCTTCTCCATTTGTTAATCAATAAAGATGATGAAGATATTTATGTTAGAAGGGTAGATTCTTTGCTTAACAGGTTTGTTCACTGCACAGCTTTTTTTAATTTCCTACCTGAGCTACCTGCTAATACCAGGATGAAGAGAATAAAGTCGTTATTGGGATGTTAAGGCTCTGAAATACAAACATGAAATAGAAACTGGAAGACACACTAACAACTTTCATTATGACAGAAAAGAATGTTCATGAAATGAACATCCAGAGATACTTTTTTCCTTTCTTAAATGAACACAATTCAATTCTGATTGCAGTTAAATTACAGCAAATCCTAGTAACTCAACCAGAATTGGTGGAATTACACTAACTGGAACAGAGAGCAGAACCTCATCACCTGCTTGCCTAATACAATATTCCTATTCAAGCCCGGAAGAAAAGTACTAAATATTATAATGTACATTAAATAGGGAAGACAAGTGAGAGCAAACTCACAGAAAATGAGCCCTCACATAATTATAATGTCTAAGAATTAAGTCTGATGCCAATGGTATTCAAGAGCATACAGTTATTGCCACAGCATGAAAGACTCTGTTTTAACTACTTTCAGCGCTCTCTCTTTACAATTGCACAAAAATGAACAATTAATGTATAAGCAGAACGTTATTGCAGAGAGGCTGTTACATTTCAAGACCTGGCTGGAGATCAAATGTGCTTCCATGGGTGAATACTGTGAGTGTTCACCATTTCACATCCCTTTGGCAACAAGGAGGACAGCATCCTTAGGTCCGGATCCAGGGAGGGGTTCTTCACTTTTTCACGGAGAAAGTGGGAGTGGTGGTGAAGCTTAAATACAGCCCCTGAGCCCACGGGCAGAGGATGTGGGGTGGAGCCCCCAGATGAGGTTTCTCAGGGCCTTCAGGGTCTTTCAGTGCTCCCAGGGTCCTGACACATATGAAGTAACTTGTATCCAAAACCAAATTTGCCCAATTTTCATGAATAGAGAAAACAGCACACCACCATCGGGAGTACCAAACCTCCAAACGAACATTAAATCTCTCCTCCCAGTCATGAAAGTTCTTACATATTAAAAGTACCCAAAATACTTGCAGGGTATTATTAACATATTTTCCAGAAACAGCTGCATTATGCATTATTCTATAACTGCTCAGTGGGTAGAAGATGCTTTTCTTCAAAACATGTCAGATCAAAGGTTTCAAAAGTGGCAAAGTTATAAGCAACAGAAGTAAGATCTTAGGGTCAAACACTCCTAATAACTAGTAAAAGCTGAACTAGCTAGCAGGTAATCATTTTACAGTGCATAAGTAGGTGTTTCGTTTTAAATAAAATGTGTGTCTTTACCCAGATAATAAAAGCCTCCAATTATTAAGTTTTTGGTATCTAAAATATTAAATGGCAAGCCCCAGCAATTACTCAAATGTGGTTTACAGTCTGATTTTTTTATGTTTTACTTGGCAGGTTTGCATTTGTAATAATAGGGGGAAAGAGCTGTGAAGGCACTTGCACGAAAAATTGACAAATGGAAAGATAAAGGTTGACAAGAACTGTGAAGAGAAAAAAGTATTGGAGATTTGTAATACTGGAAAAGATAGTGTGACAGAATACTGATGATCAGTCCAAAAATTTGAAATTGAGCTGGCGGAAAGGGAAGGTACCAGATAGATTGAAAATGGATAGAAGTGAATGCAATACAAATATGTGCAAGAAAGGCAGTCTTAGCTTTGTGTGGATTTAAGGGGATTGGAGTGAGTATCTGGAAAGCCAGAAATGGAAAAAGAGATAGAAGGGATAACAACATAGTTTAAATGTAAATAGGGAAGAGATTTTTCTTAAATTATATCTCACCTGTGACAATAGGAAGGAGGGCAGACAAAATGAATCATTTAGACAAAGTTTATACTGAGATACATACACTAATCTTCAGCATTATATTTCCCAATAATGGTAAAGTTGCAGCTGTAGTCCTGTGTTGGAACCACTCTGCAAGAAATTTACAGAGAACCCAAAATAGAACAGGAAGGATAATGAGAAGATCTGTAGCATATGACCTATGAGAAATTACTGCATCTGGGGCAGTTTAGTCTGAAAAAATCATGAGAGATGTGACAAAAATACCAACCTGCCTGCTAAATGTCAGCTCTCTGCTCCAAATCCTCAAACTATTCTTTCAAAATTTTAACCACACTAGTCATACAAAAAGCAGAGGAGACTACATCTGTTCTCTGTGTCCAGTAGAAAAAGCAAGCAAGGGCAGTAGTTTGCAGTAATGGAGGTTCAGGTTAGACATTCAGAAGAACTTTCTGATGAGAGTGAGCAGTGTTAAGAGTGGATTGATTAGATAGTTTGGGTTCTGGGAAGGGAATGACCAACAGAGGTTAGCTAATCCAAGGGCTTCCCAACCTCTGAACATCCATCAGGAAAGTCCCATTGCCAGATATCCCTCATCTTTCCCTAACAACAATTACCCAATAATGAAAAACTTGATTGTTAAAAGGGCAATCTAATAAAGGACAATCTAATAATAAACTAATAAAACTTAACATTTCCCAAACTGAGAGACCATCTCTCTACTCTGGAAGAATAAAATAAAGACAGATACCCTCTTGGTCAAACCCAAACATAATTTCTCACTATTTTCTTCAGAAGTGCTTATAAAAGTAATTCATGAAAGAGCAAGAACACAAAGAGCCTACCCCAAAGTGCATAACCACACTTATTCAAAACAGTGCTGTAAAGCACAGATGAATGGCATCGCCAAACGCCACTATTTTCAAGAATTTGTGGATTTCAGATGATTGACATATAAACTGTACCAGAATTAACATGACATTTTTGATTATCTCTTACATAAAGACTGACTAATTTGATTCTGTACAGGTATCCTGAGAAGATAGATTTTATTAAAAATCACATCACCACTATGGAATTATGGAAAGAACCATATATAAGATCATGTTGTACCAAATCCCATGTTTTTACTTTTCATAATTTATGGACTGTCATTGCATAGAAAAAACCTTCCTGGATTGAATCTGTATATAATTTTATAGGACTCTTTCATAAATAGTACATTTTTTATTTATTATGACAAAACCTGATAATGTAAGTACTATGAGTTCCATTCAGTTGATGAACTGCAACTTAAAAATTAGACAGCATTACCTGGAAGCAGCAAAGCAATTGGTGTTGGAGGTGATGAAAACCTATAGGGTGTATTTTAATTCCTACCTTTAATTCTCTCCCTTTTTTCCCCATCTACGCAAGTGGGGAAAAATATCTACCATTGTGGGGTTTTAATCTCAGTCTACAAATATGTGATTTAATGAATTGATCATCTCAGCAATAAGGTATCTTTTTCTGCTCCTTTTGACTATTAATTCTAGCATGTCTAGAATTAGCATGACCTAGATTCATGGATTCATACATACACAGATTCATGCATACATGGATACATACATAGAAACAGAGTATTTTAACTAATCTGCTCCAGACATAAACTATTCCTTCACCTTAGAGTCTTGCAGTTGACCTCATAGATAAAGTCTTGCAGTTAAAACTTTCAGGATCCAAAGTATATACATTGAAGCAAAATTCAGCTCATCTGTTATATATTCAATAATTTATTCTATTATGTTTTCTGCAAATGTTTGGCTTTGAAGTCAAACACTATTTAAACCATACCAGTCTCTGGTTTTCCACAGTTTCCTGATGACTTTTGAACAGATATTACGTGAGGGTCTGTCTCTCTTCATTATGACTCAGTTATAGGTCAGAAGACTTTTCAGCTTCTCTCAGGTGAAGACCATTTTAAATACAACTTCTGCTGTGCTAACTGGTGCTAACTGGTGCTTGGGGTCCACTGAGGCACTTCAGACACTTGATGATATTCTCCAAGGACTGCTATGTGTTCCAGTCCTTGATTTCACAAAGGACAGAGTATCTTGGCTTTAGAAAAGGAAAGTCCTTAGCCTGGACAGTTTTTACAGATTTAGCCCGTTCAGTATTTACAGACTTTTCCGTAGTAGCAAGATCACTGAACATCTGTGAGCAACTAAGGCAAAATACCTTGTTAGCAAGTGGTTTCAATATGTCTTTGCCCTCTGCTGCAGATCTCAGGCTGTGTTGCTGCTTGGC